TACGTATAAATTTAAAATTCTGTTGTCTAAAAAATCTAGTAATTTTATTTCCCTACATTATTAACTATCCAACTTTTTATACAGAGTGTTGCTCTTGTAGTCTCTGGTAATAGTTGATTTCTTGTTTTAGTAATTGTGTTTCCAGCGATGGAAAATACCCATTCAGATGCAACAGAAGTTGCTTGAATTGAGAGATAATCCCGAGCCATTTTACTTAAAATTGGGTATTCTTTAGCATGTGCTTGCCACCAGGAAAGAGGGTTTATTTCTTCTTTGTCTTCAGATAATGCAATATATTGGTTTAATTCTGATAATAGCGAGGCAGTTGAACTAGAGAGTTCATTGCTAGGTACTTCATGGTGCAAAAATTGTGAAAAGTAATATCAAGTATTGCTAACATCAGAATTCAGTTTATTGTTAGATGATGCAGTTATACTGGTCGTGTCTTTTAAGTATTCATTAAAAACAAATTTAATTTGATTATTCACATTTTGTATTGATTAAGTTGAAAAAACTGAAAGCTTGGTACGGGGGTCTAAGATTGTTGAAGTAATTGATGGTTGGTCTATTTTGTCATGGTATTCAGATTTTTTGCAATATCGATTTTGCTAATTTGTGTTGTGCAAAATTTTCTTCTTTAATAACCTTTTTTAGGCATTCTTAAATTCCTTCAAAAATAAATCAAGTATCGTCTAAAGTTGAATATGATGATGTGGAAAGATGTATAGTGGTTTTTTCTAATGGTTCAAGAACTAGAAGGGTATCCTATTATAATAAAATAATTAAAAAATGAAATTTATACATATAATACAATTATTATTTAAAAATTTATTTACTTTTATTGCATCCCAATCTTCTTTAGTAGGATATAACTTTTTGATAGTTGGATTATCTGCTGCAAGTAAAGCTAAAGCAGGCTTAAGTTTGTATATACGTTCTAACATATAGAAACTTGAATTTCATCTTGTCTCTATATCTATAACAGGTCTAAGATTTGGAATTTCCTTTAAGTTGCAAAAGCAATTGAGCTCACGGCTAAGAGATGCTGAATTTTTTATTTTTACTATCAATGCTCAAACGTTATTGATTAGGTCACTAACTAACTTTAAGCCATACTTTGCACTTATATTTAGAACATGCACAGCGCACCTATAGTGTGAAAAGACCATTAATGAAAATACTGACTCGAGACTCTTGGCAATCTCTTCTCCACATACTAACATGGCCGAAGCATTATCCGTGGTAAGTGCAATAATTCTATTACGGATATGAAATTCATCCAATGCGTTTAAGATTGCATGTGAAATGTTAACTCCTAAAAATAATTACACAAAAAAAAAAAATTAAATCAAGTAATAAAAAAAAAAAAATTGGGTAAGTAAAAAAAAAAAACCCCATCTGAATGACTAATATTAAACAGAATTAAATCAAGCAAAAAAATTCGTAATTGCCAATTAAAATCGATATAATGAACTGTAAGCCCAAGGAAAGCCTCTCTATTGACAGTTAATGACCAGATATCGGCTGTTAACAAACATTTCCCAGAAATATTGCTAAGTTTATCTATAATTTTGGGTTGTCAATAATTAAATTTATCCATTACTAAATCTTTTATTTGATGTCGTTCAGGAATTGTATAACACGGGCAAAGAAATTTAATAAATAACCGAAAATAGCTATTGTCGACGATGGTAAATGGCTGAAGATCACATACGATCCACTTTAAAAAGTATTTAGTATGCTCTTTTTGTGTTTGTAAGTCAAAAGGATTTACACTAAATTGCAGATTATAATTTTTAGTAGAAACTTCTAACTGGTGTTTGGATATAAGATGGGCCGTAAAGTTGATAAGCCAGTTGTTATTTTGTATTTTTTTCTAGAACGGCAATATTTGCAAACATTGTAATTTGGTGCATATGAAAGTCTTCTATGAAAGTGCTTCCAGACAGTGCTTCCACTTGATGCATTAGAGAATGATATAGAATCGCTAGATATAGCTGATTGTTCATTACGTTCATCATATTCATCACATTCATTAAGTTCATCAAGTTCATCAAGTTCATCAGGTTCATCATGTTCATCAGAAGATATCTGTTCGTTGGTGTTATTAGTATCTAGTTGATTTTCAAGGCTAGTATCTGATTCCTCATTGTAAGTGCAATTTGTAACTTCTATTTCGTTCATGTTTACTGTACAAAACGAAGATACTGCCGTCTGCTTTTATCTTATATTTATAGTTTCAGAAACTATATTATTTAGCACTGTATTAGTACATTGGGTGTTTGGAAATGTACGATTTAAATTGTTTAAAGGTAATTGTATGCATAAAATTTGTATTCAATACATGATACGATTCAATTTTTAAAGGTAATTGTATGCAAAAATTTTTCTTGAAACTTGTATTTAATGCACAGATACGATCGTTTTTAATTAAAATAAAATTAATATATTGGTTACTCTATTCACATTATCTGCATTACTTGACTATTATGCATAACAATTTTTAATTTGAAATAAATTGTTATATTACAGTAAATAGCTACACATTTTGTTTTTGCTTTTAAAGCAATGCACAGCTTTCATATTAACTGCTGATTCTTTATTAAAACTGATTTTATGCTTATTGTTATCGTTGTTTGCAAATAATGTATATTTTGATGAATTTTGCAGATCGCAGCTCAATATAAATTAGTTAAGCGATTTTTCTTAATAAAATTCAATACAAAGACAACTTCACACAATCGCGTAATCGAACAACAAAGCTGCAATCTGCAAAATTTATACCATAAATAGTATATGTACATTGTATGCATCAAGAAGATATATACGTAGTAAATGTGCAGGCTACAGAACATCATGCAGATAGTGGAAACGGTGTAGACAATAACTGTTGGTTAACGATTCCTTATTTATTATCGTGAAAGACGATTTTCTTCTTCGGGCCAATATTGATTACAGAATCGAAAAATTAAAAGTGCACAAAAAGCTAAATAAAATTCATAGATAATTGTTAGATCCTTTAGCTCCTTATCTAATAAATGGTTTATTTCAAGAAGTTCTGTTAATTTTTGAAACAATTGTCTTGAATTGCATTAGTGTAATTATAAACCCAACTGGCTGCAAATAATTGAAGTTACTATCTATAATAATTAAACTAAAAAATTACTGCCAAAATATACCAGTGCTTTGGGCAGTTGTATTCTAATTGGTAAAAATTCTGTTTATCATAACATTTTGAATAAAAGCCAATAATACAAATGAAACATTGCTATTATCATGATTTTTTAATAATTGTAGTGATGCTCAATTGCAATGATAGATCACTAAATAATAGTTAATCGAAAATTTACAAAAAATATAAGTCGATAATGAAAATCCATAATAAAGGTATGAAAACACTTGAACAATACTTTATTTATTTTTAATATTTATAAAGTTTTGATAAGTCAAGGCAAAAAAAAGTGGTTAGGGACAAAAAGTTTTTTAAATGAAACAGCAAACTCATCATTTTTTACTATTTAAAATTTTTTTTTACGTAATAAACTAGCTACCTTAATGACAAGCTTTAAAATTATTCCCGACACATTTTTGACATACTGTCACAGTCCTTCATGATTATGTGGGTTCCTCGCCACGAAACAAGGCAACTCACCACTTGTTCAAACCAAAGTGGTTTTACGGGTTTTTCAATATATGATATTTGTGCAAAGCGAAAAAGGTAAATTTTATTTATTTTCTCTTAACTATCTTATATACAATCGATTAGACTACATATTAATTACATCATAGTTTCGCTCACATGTACTTCTTTGACTTTACTTTATAATTAATGCATTATAACTAATCATACGACTATTTTACTATTTCTATTATCTCATATTGGATCATATGTTATTTTGACTATTCTTAATTACATATTTCTATCATGCACATTAATTGATTACTCTTAATTTCTGACTGATCCTGATCCTTTACTGACCCATGATTTAATCGATTATACACGTGATCACAAGATCATAATTCCTTACACATAACTTACCAAACGCGACAAACACATATTTATTAGTATTCACCTAAAGTTTTGCATATATGTTTACATTGTTTTATTGTCCATATATTTTTGTACTGTCCCAATGCTTTTTTCCTTTTAAAATCAATGTTTCTCTAATATGACCCCCATGTACAACATATTTCAAATATTGATTCCAGGCAAACCGATTTATGCCATGACATATACTTTTGTCCATTAATTGAGGCATTTGAGAACTCCTTGTTAATTTGTGTTAAAATCAGATTTTAGTATAAAAGTGGTTATTAAAAAGGTTTTCAGCATAG